TAGGGGGGCAAGGGCCAGGCAGGAGGGGATTGGGGGCAAGTGGCAGTGGGGCTAGGTGGCAAGGAGAACAGGCATAGGCATGAGCGGGACAAGTGGTGGGAGGAACAAGGTGTGGGTTCTGGCCCCTTGAGCCCCTCCATTGCTTTCCCTGCCACAGCATTGAGGGGTGGGGTACATGTTTAAGATGAATCTCCAATTAGTAGGTTCTATATATGGAAAATTTTATCAAATTTATAATTTTCTATATATAAAATTATAAATTCAGCATGGCCCCTCCCTCCCAACTATAAAATCTAATTATTAGGGCAGTCATCTTAAATTCAGAGTTGTCTTGGATTTGGGTAAATAAGGGAAATTTTTTGCTAGTATAGGGAAAATACCAAGTCATCTTGGTCAGAAGGTTAAATAATGTTTCTTAAAGAAGCCCTTTTGAGTCATTTGTACTCTGCAGAATTGCTCAATGCCCTTTTTCTTTTGGGAGTGGGGGTGGGGATGGGGATGGGAGGGAATATAGAAAAGTAAACTTTCTTTATTTTCATGGCATAAAAGAGCGTGGATGTTCAGTAAGCAATTTACAATGTCTAGATTATCAAACCAATGTTTGAGTTACTTGATAAAGGGGATGCAATCAATGAGGGCAAAATATGTCCAGTTTCCTGAAATAGGCCCCTAATCATTTTAAGAGGATTTTGCCCAACAGGAGTCACCTGAAAAAAGTCATAAATAAAACTGTAGCCCTGCTAGTGTGTTCCAAAACCCTGCCTTAGTTGCTAGTGACACCACAGCCTAAGTGTCAATGTTTATCTCACTAGTCTTTTTTTTTACAAAGAATTTGTATTTATCATTAATAGTGATGGACAGAATTGAATTATTTATGCTGGCTGCAGATACTCTTCCAATAATTTTGCCCTTTGTGGGTCAGGCTATCAATCTCATGTTAAAAGCTTTGTAGATCTCCTCATGTCCACAAGCTGAAGTTGGGGTTTGCTTAACTAGAACATTAGATAGGTACTCAGAGAGAGAGAGACTGATGAACATCTGTAGATGTGTCACAGAAACAGTCCACAGACAGGTGCCTAAATGTTTCACTTGACATATTTTTCTTTATCTTTCATGCCTGGATTTCCAGCCAAGTCCATATTGCCCTGTGCAAGGCTGAATGCAAGCCACAATCAGAGGGCTTCGGATAGCAGAGTGGTAACAATTAACTGCAAAGAAAAGTCCTCTGTCTCCTAAAATATAATCTCATGTCTCCATCTGTCCAGGTATTTATACAATGCTCATCACTCAGGTTCTTGAGTGCTGTTTTCTAACTGCCACAATCTTGGCACAGGCCCTTCTTCCAGATGTCTGTTCAATAGGCTC